GTCAGCACACAGCCCCTCTCTCCATTTGGGTCTAAAGTCCCCAGCTGCTCCATCTCTCCACGTCATCGTCTCTGCCTCTATCTCTGGTGTCACTGCTTCTCTGGGTAGGGTACCGCTCTCTGCTCTTCTCCCTTGATGGTCCCAGGGACCTCCGCTCTTAGACTGCAAAGTCAATTACTCTCCAACTTTTGCTACAAAAATAAATACCTTTTTAAACAACATAAAATACCACTAATCAAATGGATCTCACCAGACAGCATACAGAAAAATCACATTGACTATGTCTGTAAAAAGAACTAGTGGGAAAGTTCCGTAGCATCAGCCAAAAACAGACCAGGGGTTACTGTGGAACAGACCATCAATTGCTCATATACAAGTTCAGGATGAAGCTGAAGAAAATTAAAACAAGTCCAGGAGAGCCAAAATCTGAGCTTGAACATATCCTACCTGAATTTAGAGATCATCTGAAGAACAGATTTGATGCATTAGACATGAATGACTGAAAACCAGAATAATTGTGGGATGACTTTAGGGACATCATATAGGAAGAAAGCAAAAGGTCATTAAGAAGACAAAAAAGAATGAAAAGACCAAAATAGATGTCAGAAGAGACTCTGAAACTTGCTCTCCAGTGTAGAGATGCTAAAGCAAATCGAAGAAATGAGAAAGTAAGAGAGATGAACAGAAAATTCAAAGGGCAGCTCAAGAAAATAAAGTCAAGTTTTATAATGAAATGTGCCAAAAACCTGGAGTTAGAAGGGGAAAATACACTCAACTGAAAGAACTGACAAAAAGAGTACAATATTGTAGGATTCTATGGGCAAAAGAGTCCTGGTGTGGTGCTGTGGGTTAATGCACCAGACTGTAAAAGCTGTTTGAACTGCAAGGTCGGCGGTTCAAGCTCACCAGCTGCTCCTCGGAAACCCTATATAGGGTCTCTATGGGTCAGAACCAACTCTATGGCACTTAACAACAACAACAACAACAATGGGCAAAAAAGGAGTCCTGGTGTGGCGCTGTGGTTAATGCACCAGACTGCAAAGCCGTTTGAACTGCAAGGTTGGCAGTTCAAGCTCACCAGCTGCTTCTTGAAAACCCTATATAGGGTTGCTATGGGTTGGAACTGACTCTATGGCACTTAACAACAACAACAATGGGCAAAAAGGAATCCTGGTGTGGCGCTGTGGGTTAATGCAGCAGACTGCAAAGCTGTTTGAACTGCAAGGCTGGTGGTTCGAGCTCACCAGCTGCTCCTCAGAAACCCTATATAGGGTCGCAATGGGTTGGAACCAACTCGACGGCACTTCACAACAACAACAACATGGGCAAAATATTGAGTGATGCTGAAAGCATCAAGACGGAAGGAATACCCAGAGTCACTGTACCAAAAAGAAACAGTTGATGTTCAACCATTTCAAGAGGTAACATATGATCAAGAGTCAAGGTGCACTAAGACACTGGCAAAGAATGAGGCTTCAGGAATTGACAGAATACAAATTGAAACCTTTCAACAAACTGATGCAACACTGAAGGCATTCCTAATTTATGCAAAGAAATTTGGAAGGCAGCTACTTGGTCAACTGATTGGAAGTGATCCATAGTTGTGACCTCTCCAAAGAAAGGTAACCCAACGGAATGTGAAAATCATTGGATAATGTCATTACTATTGCATGCAAATAAAATCTTGTAAAGATAATTTAAAAATGGCTGCAACAGTACATTGACAGAGAACAGCCAGAGGTTCAAGCCAGATTCAGATGAGAATGTGGAACGAGGGATATCACTGATGACATCATATGGATCTTAGCTGAAAGCAGAGAATACCAGAAAGAAGTTTACTTTTGTTTTATTGACTATGCAAAGGGTTTTGACTGCATGGATCATGACAATCTATTGACGACATTGTGGAGAATGAGTATTCTGGAACAATT